GCAGGGCGACCTGCAGGAGGCGCTGGAGGACCTCCGCACTCTGGTGCAGTGCTACAGGGGCACCTTGGAGCCCAGCCCCCTCGGCTCCTCGGAGGATGAGTCCGACTGAACACAGGTCGGCCTGGGAAATTGAGATCAGACACTGAGATCAGACTGCAGGCGTGTGTCCTTGTCACTGAAGCGCGTATTGACGAGCCCAGAAACGCCCTGGTCCCCCGCGGTCAGCTCGCGCCTCGCCGCGTGTGCCCTCTCCAGGTGTCACTGGGGAATCCACACTGGCCCGGCCGGCGTGCTCGAGCTCCTTCTCCGCCACTGTGCGTCCGGCTCTGGAGAGCTCATCGGCCGGGGGGATCTCGGCAGCTGTCTTGTGTTCCCAGATTTTTCCGGTGTGGAATGCCCAAGGAGCCCGGCATTCGGACTTTATACCGGCTCGACCCAGGCGGACTCTTCCCTGTTGGTACCCGTCGGTCAGACGGTCCGGATGGCGTTTTCAGTTTGTTTCCTCACAGGGGTGTGGCTCCTTGGTCCGCGGTTCAATTCAAGCCTGGGGCATTCTGTGTGGAGTTTGCATGTTCCCCTCCTGTCCATAGCTTTAGGGTATACTGGTTTCCTCCCACTTCCCAAAGATCAGGATAAGTGGCCCCCTAGATGCTTGAGTCCCGCACACGGACTGGTGTCCCATCCAGGGACTGTCCATCCTGCCCCTCAGCCCACTCTCTGCGAGGCCGGGCTCTGTCTCAGCACGACCCTGGACCGGACTGAGCAGCTGGGTGTGTCTTCCAGAGGTTCTGCTGAGTCATCTCCAGAGCCCAGGTGGTGCTGACTCACTTTTCCCCTTGGGGGCTCTTCAGAAGGACTGATATCTCAGCTCGGTCTCTGTGTCTCCTACCAGATCAGGACTAAATCGCTTTCTGATGTTAAATCTGCTTGCGACACCAGAAAATGTACTGGCTCTTTTAGGCACAACCTGGCTGTACTGAGCTCTCAGGGCTCTGCAGTAATGCAGTGCTCTGTGCTGTCCTGTGCTCTGAGGGAGTGCAGTGCTCTATGCTGTCCTGTGCTCTGTGGGAGTGAGTGCTCTGTGCTGTCCTGTGCTCTGCAGTAATGCAGTGCTCTGTGCTGTCCTGTGCTCTGCAGTAATGCAGTGCTCCGTGCTGTCCTGTGCTTCTTGGGAGTGACTGTTCTGTGCTGTCCTGTGCTCTGTGCTGTCCTGTGCTCTGTGGGAGTGAGTGCTCTGTGCTGTCCTGTATGCTACAGGAGTGCAGTGCTCTGTGCTCTCCTTTGCTTTGTGGGAGTACGGTGCTCTGTGCTGTCCTGTGCTATGTGGGAGTGCGGTGCACTGCAAGGGAATGCATTGAACATGTAGTTCTGTGTTCATTCTGCACTCTGCTTTTTCTATTAATATCTATAATCCTGGCTGACTTAAGACCTTTAAATACATTTAAAATAAAGCTTTACATGAAAGCATGATTTAACTATAATCATCACTGTTAGTAGCGATAGCTGTCTTTTTGGTACCATTTTTACTCCTGAAGCGCTTCGAGGTGCCCTGGTAGTTAGGGCGTATTCCTGGCTCCCGGTTTAAACCTTTGGACAGCGGATCTGCACGGACCGAACACGACCACAAGAGGGAGACGGAGCTCAAGAAATCCGCGGTTCCGCTGATCGTGTCGTGTGTCCGGAGTCGGTCTGCCTTATTCGCTGATAAATTTTCGACGACACTGGGGTTCTGCGCT